TTTTTTTTTTTTTTTGATTTCTATGTATTTTGAGACCTTTTGCTCAGAATAAACTAAATGAGGTGATGAGCAACTGAAACAGTCACAACTTGGTTTGATGGCAAAATGATATCTTTGCCGTTAAAAGTATATATAGTTAAAATTATTAGTAAAAGGGGATTTTTTTTCTGTCTTTATTGTATAGCAAACTAATCATTCATTGAGTAAGGATAGTTACTCTGAAATTGATGACGATAGTGTTTCGCTAGTTTAAGTCGGTAATTTTTATCCCTGCAGTTAACTGACAAATTCATTTCGTTCCATGAATTTTAATGAAACACTGAACGTTAACTAACAGTTACAAATATTTTCTACACATATGAAGCGTTAAATGAACTTTTGAAAAATGTACAATTCCATTGATTTATTAGGCCTTTTTATTGGTCGCTAGAAGAAAACGGATATGTTGTTCTGGTTTGCAGGGACTATGTTGGTTACTGGTGGAGCGTCAAACAATGCAACCATAGCACAAATTTTAGCCGATGTGTTCAACTGCGATGTTTACACCGCCGAGTCAACGGATTCTGCAGCCATTGGCGGCGCTCTCCGTGCACGACACGGTAGCCATAAACTGCTTATCGTATCCAGTACTATACAACTTTGCAGAAAAAAGAATTCCACTGTTTTAAGTAAACCAAAATGCTACATTTGATTTCTGTTAGCAGATAATTTTAAGCAAAAAATATAAATAATAGTTAAAGATTTGAAGAAGAAAAAAAAAAAGAAGAGGAAGAAAAAACGAAAAGAGTTTTCTTTGGCTGATCTTCAAAGTATTTTTTTATGGCGAAATGGGGATAGGATGATATATGAAACAGACATTTTTCTAATGCTTTGTTTGCTATTTATCTGTAAGTCTAATTTTACTTTCAGCAGCCTTCTATAAGGGTTCAGATTATTTCATCGTATCTGAAGCAGCAGTTATACGACAACTTGTTGCCTCTCCAATACTTGGAAATGTGGAGGTTAGTGAGCTTTTAGGATAACTTATGTCGTTTTGTCGTTTTTTTTAGATTTTACTCTAAAAGTTCGCTGGAAATTAACTTAATAGTGGACCTTACATTGATATTTCTTTTTAACGAAAAGTTTTATTCTGGAGAGTAATACAGCAACTAGGTAAAAAGTTTCTCACTTACAGAGTACACCTACTCGTTAGCCCAAATGCTTGTTTCACAAAAAATTGATAAATAAATAAATTTTTTATTTTTAAATGGTAGTTTTTTCGCGATACCAACCCTTGATCAAGCTTAAAAGTTTGGCCTACATTAGAGAAATTTAAAACAAACAGTTTTATCAGAATAAACTTTTTTTTAGCTGATCTATTACACATATTTTTCGCCTCAAAATATAACCTATAAGCTTGATAGTTATGCAAATTATTTAAAACATATTTTTGTTTAATAATTATAGGTGTTATTTTTAGGTGTATAATGAAATGATAAAAATATATGAGGAACTGGAGAAGCGCGTTATGGCTGATGCAGTCATGTTTTAAATTCTTTGATCTAATCTGTTGGCTGTTATTAGATAGTAGAAGTTTTTTTTCGACGTGTTTGTTAATATTTAACATTGATCGATAAGTGGCAGTGTTGTTAGGTTTTTGAGATTTTCATCTAATTGCTTTCTTTTTGAGGTTTTGAAAGGCGCAACTACAATTCTGCACCAGTTAGATTCATTTCATCTGAAACGGGGACGGAGAACAATATTTTGACCAAAAACTGTTCTGTTTTGGCAGAAGTAATTTCAGATTTCGAAGTTCTGTTGAAGGCATCGTTGTGTTTTAGAAGAAGCTGAAGCTTTAAAACGGTCAGTAGACAAAGCTTGTAGGTTGATCTAATGTATCTTGACTGGGTGCATTGGCTTTATTATTGACTTCGAATTTAACTTCTGTTGTGCCTTGAAGTGTATTTATCGCTCGTTCCTGTAATCGCCAGCAGGGAAATGTAGTATCGTTATTAAGCCGTCTTTCTTGTTTTATCAATTCACTATTGTCTTTTAATCTTTTTTTTGCCAGTTCTTAAATACTGCTGAAGAAGGGTAATCATTTGGCATCTAATGCTACTAATGTCCTAATAAATTATTAGGCTATTGTTTATCTGTTTTGTCTTGAGAAGATAAAAATACTTTGCAGAAGATTGTTGTGGCCTTATTTGAATTGTTTTTTGCCTTATGCTGAGTGTTCAACTGGAAAACTTATGCAGTAAGTAAATATACATTAGAACTTTTTAGTGAACTAGCATTCTGATAACCAGAACTAGTAACAGTGAAATTGCACCTCAAGATCTTTATCTGTTTACCAGAACCGATGAGTAAATTTCTGTTTTCATTTTTTGTACAAAATTAAGTAAAAGACAAGCAGAAATAATCTGTATTTATTACTATTTACAGGGACAGATTATTAGCAAATCGCAAAATCTAACGAAACTAATGGAGCTGGAAGGATGAAAGAGCTGAAATTAACGGGGAAAAAGAATCGATCAGTAAAATACAGATTCTGGATGTAACCAAATTTCACATCAAAGCTTTACCGGAAAACGCATTTCACACTTCAAACGTTACCAGCAATTAGAATGCTGTTTTAAATTTTTCTTTCTTTTAACACGAAAATAGTTCCATTTTTTTCCAGTGGAAAAGTGTAAAGTCGTTGTGGTATTGCGATGATGTGGTAAAGCAAAAATCAGAAAGGAATTCGTTCGAAACTGAAAGGCACTACAGCAACTGTTCATTTGATAGAAGTATAAGTGAGGAAACATAAATTAATATTATTTAGCAAATTAGAGTAAATAAAACCGAATGTGTTAGTCTGTTGAAAAATAAAGGTATATGGAGGATTTAAATTGAATGATGTACAACAGCTTCGTACTGCCGTAATTCAGTGAGATCCTTCATTGCGGTGTGACTGTTTCGATCAGAAACCCATCGTCCGTTCATACCCGGGATTCGGCTTGTCGGTTTGCCCCAGGTCATGCCACGAAATAGCAGTGTTTCATCAACTGAAAATTATCGTTTAATTTTCAATTTTTTGTTGATCTATGTTAGCATATTTCAAGAAAAGATGAAAAAGAGAGTCGTTTAAGATGCAAAAGTAGATGGCAACAATCAACCTCCCAAATGTACTTAACGCAAAACTTACCGTCTGACCACATCGCATAAACATGTTCAGCTTCACGAGTCGGATCGTTGTTCAGACCTTCCAGGAACGCTGAGTAGTTTTTCTGTGTACACTCGCCGTCTGGATAACCGCACAGAATCTGTTAAGGAAAAAAAATTGGAATCAAAAATCCACCATTACGACTGTGGTGACAAACTGTTAAAAATTTCTTTTTTTGGAGGGGGTAATTGAGATAATGAACATACTGAGCACCAAAAAACAACTTCATGAAGATAATGCAATAATTGTGGAATAATATTTGTGATGTAAAATAAGAAGGAAATCTTTTAGGTGAACTTTTTTAAAATCATGGAGGTTTTTTTAATGTTGTTAAATTTTAAATCAGATACAAATTCAATTTCTTTAAGAAAAGCAGTTTTTTATGATTGTAGATTAGAACCTGGTCTTCACAAGTGTAGCCCGGATAAAGACCATCAAGAGCATTACACCAAGCAGGAATAGTCTGAGCAAACTGGCACATGCATAGACCATAATTGGCTCCAGCGATACCGAGGAATGTATCCACTCGATCAGTTAGTGGAGGCCCAATTGAACAGTTTCCGTCTGTAGCAATTAGACCGCCTCCTTTCAATACTTTTCTAAATTTTGAAACGATTAATTCTGTCTCTTTTTTTTTTCAAAAGCCATAAAAATTTGTGCATTAACTGCTGCCTCATTTATTTGTTTTTTTTTTTCCAATCTTATATATTTGTAAGTTTGAGTGAAAAGTCACCATTTTTGCTTCTGTTCAAGTTACTCGTTTACTTGATATTGCTGAATTCTTTTTTCTTATAATTTTAGAAAAGAACGGGAAATTTTCTACAAATAGAAAAAGGAAGAAAAGTGTAAGTAATTTTAAAGACTATAATTATATGGAGATGTTTACCTCATTAGTGGGACAGCAAATGAATGAGCAATAACATCGACTTTTTCTGCGCCAGTGTACTCGAGAACAGCGCGAACAAATTTTCTAAGGTACATAAGATTTGTGCAGGTATGAATGGTGCTGTGTGCATCAACCAAATTACCGCCAGCCCATGTTTCTCCCCATGTTGTTGCATATAATTCTGCAGATGTGTAATTCTGTTCCAGAAAATACTGGATTGAACGTGTCCAACCAGTAGCAATTGGTGGTTGAATATACAGTGCAGCATCGGCTGTTCCATGAATAAAGATTACTGGCTCATGATGAAGCTGAAAAATAAAACTGTAGCGTTCAGCGTTTAAAATTCGTATAAAAAATTTTTAGTGAAAGCTGTAAAAGAAGTGATAAAAATGTCTACAGCTTTGGTTACGTATGAAAGAGTCTACTAAAGACACAAATTTCAACAATCCATTTTGTATTTTTTTTCTCTTCTCTCATTTTAAACGTTTTCAGCAATAATTACTGAAATATAACAAAAATTCAAAGTCTTCTACTTTTTTGCATCTTTAAAAGCTGATAATGACTTCGTTATAACGAGACATTATTAGTTACAAGATGATTTTTTAAGCAAAAGTCTAAATTGCCGTAATTATCAATGAGGCAGTTTCTTATTAACTGCTGTTTGAAAAATCATTGTCAAAATGTCCAAAAATATATTTAACTGATATTTTTAACTATTATTTATCATTCTTAAATCTTTGTAGCTGTAAATTGAGAGCATTTTGAAAGGCAGCCATTCGGAGTGATAAATAAACAAAACTGAAACACTCTTCTCGTCTGGTGAATTTTTTGAAGATAGGTGAAAGATAGGGTATACCAATAAAGTGGGTGCTAATTGTTGAAAGAAAGAGGGATTGCTGTCGGCGAGTAAAATTTGTACAGCTAATGGAAAGTAACACCTTCATTAAAAAAAAAAACTAAATAAAAATTTTACGATTTGATTCCTTCGGGTTCTGCCACCAAAACTTCCACTCGGTCCGACATCGGATCGGTCAAAATTTTCCGATTCATATCCATTTGCTATCAGCCAATGTTGAAAATCCGCTGTCAATGGCCCGGTTAGGCGAGGTGCGCGATTTTGACAGGCGGCAATATGCAATAAGCCTAAGCACACAAGCAGAAGCCTCCTGAAATTCCGCTCAGTTAGTGTGCTGTTTATAACAAGCAAAATCTAATATTGAAAGTTAATTAAAGCAAAAAAATGAGGAAGTGAAATGTGTCAAGAAAAGAACTTTATTTGTAAGAATTGCCCTACTGGTTAGTACATCGCCGTGAAAAAGCAAAAAATATCACTAGAATGACAGACAGATAGCAATAAATAAAAAGTGAATAATAAAGTAACCTTTTTAATCAAATAAATTACTTTTAAAAAATTCTTCGAAAACTTTACATTGAAATTAAAATCATAACTATTTGAACTGTTCAACTGAATAACTCGTTTACAGAATTTAGCGAAAATTATTGGTAACAGTTTGATTTTTTTTTTTGATGGTTTTGTTTAAAACAGTATTACTACTCCTAAAACAGTAAGTAAACTAGTAAGACCAAATTTGCAATGTCGTAGATAAATTTAAAAATTGAGTAAATTGACGTTTTAACTCATATTAGTGTTGGAAGGCAAAAATAAACTTTTTGCTTCTTAAAAACAACCAACTCAAAACAAAAAAAAAAAGAACCAGCAATTTATTTTTCAATGAAATAGAAAAAGATGACAAAAAGATTTCTAAAATTTGCATCAAAAAGAAGTTTTTTGTGGTAAAATATTTCAGGGATTTTTTGCTCTGCCTAGAAACCATAGGTAATATCAAATTTCTCTAATAAGTCAATACAGTTGCAAAACAAAAAAAGTTGAGCGCTAACAAACTAAATTTAACAAACTCTTATGGTGGGAAGTGCAGTAAAGAACAGCCAAAGAGTCCTGAAGCAAAAATAAGATACATATGAGATAACTGCGTCTCCGCAAAAAGCTGCAGGATATATTTGAGAAAACTGTGATTAGAGGAAAAGCTATAGTCAACGAACATGAAAAACGACTTACATAAAGGGTGAACTTCGCAGAACAGTGAGCAGATAAAAATGAAAGCGAATGTTCAGCGACAGATGCAGTACTATGCGTGACTGTATCGGGAGAATTAAAACGGTTTCCGTGGACAAATGACTACAGGAAACCGGGGGCAAGTTGACAGGGGGAATGCAAGGGGTGGGGGTGATAGGGCAGCCGGCGCTAGGCGCAGTTAGGGGATCCGACTGAACAGCGGGGAGAGTGACCCATTCAGGAAAAAACTGCCGGAGGCAGTGGTCAACAGTGAAATTCGATTGTCAAAAGATTATTTCCCGACAGCCATGACGATTACCCCCTTTCACTCGTCTGTGGACCAGTTGTTGTCCCAACTTTATCGTTCCATACCTTTGGTTCCGTTCACAATTTCTGCTTTTTTTTTTGTCTTTTTTTTTTTTTGTTTTCTGTAAGTTTGTTCGCCGGTTTGTACTGGCCAGCAGCAGCCTTCAACATATTCAGTTGTCGAAAGAAGTTCAGTTGTGAGATGCAGAATCGGTTGTTTCGCTGCAAACATGTCACATCAAGATATCCTCTTTGTTATAAGCTTCGCATGTAACAGCTGTGAAAGAGCAAGAAAGGAAACTAAATAAAAAAATAGACAAGGAACTTAAAAAACAAAAAATTTTTTGTATTGCTGAAAATAGGCCAAGTTTAACGGCAATCTATGGCAGTACAAAGGCAAAAAATTGAAAATAGGATGTCAAAAAAAGTTGAGAAAACCGCTTTAACTGTTGTTTATCAGAACTTTGCGTTATTTGACCATCTGAGTTTAAGTGTTTTGTTAAAGGGAAGGTCGATACTAAGGAAAATTTACTTTAAAAAGTTTTTTTTCCAAGAATTAAATATAAAATACCAATTTATTAATTGTAAAACAAATGATAGATTGCTGCAAATCATTATCAAGAAAAAAAGTATTTTCTGATTTTTCAAAACCAAAAACTTTTTGTTTGAGAAAAAGAAAAATGGAACAAAACAAAAGTAGTTATTGTGTAAAATTATGAACATTAGTTTGACAGATATAGATGAGCCTGAAAGAAAGAAAAAGATATAAGCTTTTTTTGCACTTTTTAGGAAAATGAGATTGCAGAAAATATTTTAAATATAAATAGAAAATATTTCAGAGTCGTGTTTTATCAATTTTGCTAAAGAACACGCAGAATTCTGTAGACAGCATTTGTATGGATACTGGAAGAACTGTGTTCAATTATCCAGTTTGTCCAACGGGTGTAACCAGTTTATAACTGTCTATAAAAATGAGTAGGTTGAACAAATAGATGAATATTCATACAAAACTAACTGTTTTAATGCTATTGAATAGTAAATTCTCTTTTTTTTTTTTTTGCTGTTGCTATTAGACTTTGAACAGTTTTCATTATTAGATCATAATTTAATAAAAGAAAAGTTATATTTGTTAAATTTTAAGATACATTAAAATCAGCAGTAAGAAAATAGTGGAATTTGGTGGTTCAGAGTCGGTATTGCTGTTCCTGTGTATTTAATGGTGACAATGAAGACAATGGTAAATAAACATTTTTTTTTTTTCTTGCAGAAATCCTGTTTAAAAAATATCGCTGAAGAAAAAAAAAGCCAAATCAAATAATAGTCAAAAATAAAATATGATTCTTTTCTCATAATTTTAAAATTGCAATATATTGTTTCTTCCTCCTCTTTCTGTATTTGATAATTTAAGACAAAAAAATGTTTTTTTCCAAGTT